TTTCTTTAGGATCAAAAAATCTATAACAATTTTGACTGCAATGGAACCCTAAAAATATTTAGTAGGCGTACTCATATACCATATTTAACATCGACGTCAGTTCATAACATTTACCAATGAATTTGTTACGGAGATAATTCAACTCTTGACACTTAACACCTAAGCGTCATTGCAGGACACCCCTCCAACAACAAAATTATGAAAGATTAACTTTAAAATAATATTAATATTAAAAAGAAATTAAAAATAAAATATTTTGCTATTATTTGTTCGCCTTCATTTATTTATGGACTTTGCCAAGTTATGCAAAATTTTTATCATCAGAAAAAAAAGTATCTCAACATTGCCATAAAATTTTTGACTAAAATTGCTACATGCTGTCGCTTTCAGATATATAGTTTTTTTGCTCTTTTTTTGGAAATATGTTATTTTTAAACATTTTTACTCACGATTATTAATTTTATGTTGCTTTCATTGTAATTGTTATGATTATTTTAGTTGCATTTGCTGGATAAAGTTAATAGTGAAATTTTTTTAAAAAACTCAAAAATGCATTTCTGTATATAATTCGTTTGCATGTTGTCGTAATTGTTGTTAGTTTAGGGCTAACAATAATTTCCTATAGATAATTTTCCAGGAATTGCAAACATGCAATTTTACAACAAACTAGCAAATATTGTTTTTACTTATAACGAAATAAAATATCACACTAATAAGTAGTTTTCATAAAAAAAAATCAAAAAAATATCCAATCTCCAAAAACACTTTAATGAAAAAATAAATTGCTTCAATCATAAAAACCAACGATTGCTATACTATATTAGTTGCAGATCAGAGATAAAATGTTTTGTCACTGCAAGAAAGATTTGTACCCATCCTAGGTTTTTCTTTCATGATATGCCTGTCAGATATCATCAATATGAACATTAAAGATATTCCCCACTTTAGGAATGAAGTAGTTTCGCAGTCCACAATAAAGGTAACTTTACTTAAGACATTTTTGTGTGCTCAAATAACTGTGCTTTAATAATTCGACCAAATTGAGCGCTTGAGTTTTTGATAAAGGAAGTATCTAAAAGCGGCACAAGTACAATTTACCAAAAAATAGTACCAAAATTAAGCTAAAATGCCAGGTAACAGCACCAGAAATATCAAATAAAACCATACAATATCACCCTTAACAATTTCGTACAATGTTTCTGTATAAATGATTCCAATGTTAAGAAATATATTGAAATCTAGTATCTTTACTTTTATAACAAAAATTAATGATATCTGATGGATTTCCAATCTATGCATGGTGTATAAATATATGGAAACTTCTATTAAACCAAAAGTATAATGAAAAAGTCCTAACCATCGCTACCTGCTGCTTGTCATCAAATTTTTCAAAAAAAAAAGGATTGTTTAGTTAGTTTTAAAAACATTTATAAGACCTTAAAACGATATTTTACGAATCCAATTGGAAACAACACCTGTTTAGCGCACTTTGCCAGTGTGACCAAATACTTAAGTACTAAACCATGAAGACAAGTACTAGGCTTTAACGATTCTTTAACTGCTGCTCTTCAACTTCTTCGATCTACGATTTTCGCTGTATTATTGTGGTTGGTCTAGGCAAAATATCAAATAAAATTATGTCCTTTTTAAGTACGACGTTTGGCCATGGTGACTGGCACAAGACACTCAATATAAATGAAGTCGCAAATGTGCATAACAAATTAAAAATTTCCAAAAAATAAAATAAGACAGAGTTCTAAAAAATATAAGAAAGACATACAATTCAGACTCTGCCTGGCTCTGCATGGCACTTCTAAGTCTGCAAGATGGCGTTGCTATAGCCGTTTAGTAGATTCTTCTTAGTGTGGTATTCTTTTTTATTTTTTTTTTTTTCTGTTTGTCGACTATTTTGAAGTGGTAAACATCTTTATTTTTACCATAAAGCGAAATGCCATTCACACCTGAAATAAGGTACTAAATTTATTTATTTATTTTAAAAGAATTTGTTCTCCCTACAATTCCTTTTCCTTTTCTTCTTGTTTTCCTTTTTCCTTAGTACAGCTTCTTTTAGCTTTTTTAGCTTTTTTCGTTTACTTCTTACCAACCAAACAGAAATGGTAAATGTGTGGTTTTTACGTGCCTATCTGAAGGCAACTCCATAAAAACTAACAATAGCAACAACAAGTGTCTTCATCTTCCACTTTTTCAACTCTGCCAACACTTCAGATATGTACGACGAGCAAAAAAAAAAAAAAAACACATATGACAGAAAAGGAGAAGTGTAAAGAGTACGCGCGAAATGCAAACATGGCGTAAAGAATGGCTCAAGTGTTTGTGTCCTTGAAGCAAATTGTTGTCGTCATAATTTTCGTATGAATGTGATTTTTTTTTCTTCCTTTCTTTCACTGTTTTTTTTGTTTTTTTTTTTGGTTTATTTTGATTGGTACGAGTATGTGTAGATATAGAAATATTGCACTGCAAACATTTTTGAAACAAACGAAATTTTTAAGAGAATATATTGCATATGTACATAACATATATTGTAGTAAGTAGAGGCCTTTTTGAATTGGACTCCTTTTTTTTAGGTACCTTTTTCATATATTTTTATTCAAATAGTAATTTGTCTCACGTACTTTACTTAAGCGTGTGAATAGGCTTACAACAATCTGAATGAAGAAAAGCAATTATGAAATAATAATCACACAGATCGCATTTATAATAAAAATTATATTAGAAAATTGAAGTTAAATTTAAGTAAAAAATCATACACCCAAAATTCAACACCATATTACCTATAGACGTTGGTAAGACAGGATCGAAAGGGATTAAAAGACACTGAAACCGGCAGATTTTATACAGTGCAATATGTAGTAGAGAGAGAAAACGTATACCATGTGCTAGAGGAGTGCCCGGTACTGATGCACAAGCGGAAGAAACACCTACAACATAGGGATTGAAGACTAGGAAAAATACGCCCCATACTGTCTTACATTAAAGAAATCGGAATTAAATAAACACTTTAATCCAACTAAGTGGTACAATAGATCTTTTAGGTCGCAGTGTACTATCTCTTTCTCTTTCTCATAATAATAATAATAAATAATAATAATATGAAACATTTGACTTACTCATCCGTTTGTAATAATCAAGTAACTCACACCGAGTATACATAAAACCAATGCATATAGTCATATGAATAGTAAAACTAAGCTTTGATATATTCGCTTTTTAACAAATTTAGTTGATAACATTCAATATTTGAAATTTTGTTTAATTTAATTAATTAACTAAATTAATTTCTTTAAATTTTTTTACTCTAATTAAACTATTCTTGTATTTTCTTTAGTATTATAAATGAAAAAGATATTATTATGAGACCTGTCGTGTGTGCCTGAATTAAAAATATTATTCTAACCCAAACAGAGACTAAAACTTGTTTATTACCATTTTTGTCAGCCACTAAGATATAAAATCTTGCACTAATATCTATCCGTCATTATATATATAAATCATCACAAGTATACAGCTAAATTTAATCATCATGAAACCTAAACTTTATTTCTATTAACTCATTAGTGTAATTAGGTTAAAATAAATTCCCTAATTATGGTGATCTTTTAATATCAGATTCCTCGCTAGATACCCCAATATATAAAACTTTATTAGATATTTGAGGAATACTTAAACTATTTAAAAAGAATGCTCAAACTGTACCAAACCGTACAATTTGATTCTGAATAAGAATCAAAAAACAATCAATAGATTCTAATCTTAAGGCGAGGAAAAAGGAAGAAGACAACAATGAATTTGTTTAAAATGAAAAGGAATCTATAAAAAATAAGTATATAATTAAGATTAAAAAATTATAAAGATGATACTACGAACGATCGATAATATATTATTGTCAATGTAAAATAGAATGTAAATTATAACATGTAAAAATGTTATAATGATAATTATAATTATGATAAAGATTTTAATGACCATGATGATAATTATGGTGATAATGATAGTTTTGATAATCATGGTTATGATGATGATTGTTTTGACGCAAGTTATGATAATGCAGGTTATGATGATGATAATTATAATCATGACAGTTAAGCATTATAAAAAAATGCTATATTTTAATTCCATTATAATTATTATAATATTATATATTTTTTGAAAATTTTTCCATATTTTTTCTTAAACTTTCACTCATTTAAAAAAAATCGGTATGACGCCGCTAAGTCATATATTTTTCTAAAGCCGTGGTTACTTTGAATTAAAGAAACTCCAGCTTAGAATATATATCCTATATAAGGGTACTATTTCGTCTGTTTTAGAATCGTTCGTATTATAGAAGTAAGCATCACATTTCTGTTTAATCAGCAATATATTACAGTCTTTGACAGAGAAGATGATAATTAACTTTTGCTAGTTGACTCTCTTAATATCCCAACTATTGGCTGCTTCATTCACACTACCTTCAACTGCACAGCAATTCTATTCCAATATATATGTAACTCCTTCTCACCAACGCAAAATAGATTAAATTCAAGCTTCTGCACTCTTCTAGCCCTAAAACATTGTGAAATCTTACTCACTTCTAGTTACTAATTTTCGCATTTATCACTTATTTTATTTTACTATAATTTCATATTTTTCTTTTCTTGTCTGTATTTTTAGCAAATTGTTTACGCTATTTATGATTTAATTTTTTCCCTTTATTTTTTTCTTTTTTTTTTTGTTTTTGTTGCCTTTTTATACAACTCTTAAGCTTCTGTCATATGAAGTTGTAAACATTTTATTTAAGTATCCTTCGTTCGCTCAAGTGACAATGAAATACTTTGTTGTCTCTTAAAATTTTCTAAAAAGACTTTTATGGCTAAGTAAACTTGATATCTTTATAAGTCTGGAATAGCACCAGAACATGGCTAAATTAATATTTTCAGCTAAGAGGTGCAATATTTTTATAATTATTACGCATGCTTTTGAAAAAAGATAACAAGAAAATTATGTTTAATTGTGGAATATTTGCCAGCAGCAGCGGCAGCGGCAGCTGGAAAGAGATACGTACCGGTGATCTTCTGCTGGGGACTGAGGCAATAAAACGATGCAAACGTGTGTCGTTTAATGTTAAAAAATGCTCGGAACAAATTATTGAGTTTGACTTAAAGGAAAGGGTACGCCATTCAATGCGATTCTTTAATGAATTTCGAACTTGTATTCGCAAGTTGCTTTTTAAATAATTTAATTTTATTTTTGTTGTAATGAAAATCCATGTTATTTAATGAGATTAGAATTATTTTATGTGAACAGGAAATGAACAAATTTTATATTTTAGTTATCCATTTTGCACTATATTTCTTCAGATCGTGGATATCTGGTGACCATTACTCGAAATGAAGGATAAAATTGCTTAGTCAAATTGAATTTAAAGAGCAGTCCGTTGTCTAACTACTTGAGGCTTGAGATCAACTCACACAAAAACGCTATACCTTTTACTTAATCGTTTTCCTGTTAATTGAACAGTCATCGGAATAGATTATCTTGAAAAAGTCAGACAATCCAGACGCATTTTCTCAGTAATAGATCAGTAATAAAATTTTTGTAATAAGTACTACTTGTTTGTTTAGAAAACTTTATACCAAAAGAAGACAAATTATAAATAACTCTTCTAAATTTTACGAGTAATATTAGAAAGACATGAGCTGTATTACAATACCGGATTAAATATTGCTTTCAACTGTATAGCAATACTAGATTTGGAAATTTATCGAAAATAAACAACACACCTGTAGTTTAACACAGAATACTAAAGTTTAGAAATCTTTTTTAATTGAAAATGGTAACTCTCAAAGTTGAAATGTTTTTATACAGACACATGTCAGAAAATAATATTAAATTCTTATCAGTTAGTTAGGTATTATTCGAACTATTGCAACCTCCATATGTTCTATCACATGGACCTGCCTGGCACATATAAGCAGGACACTTAATAGTCACAAAAATATGATCAGTTGCCTTGCTTAGAGCGAGAACTTATATAACCAGTGTTGTTAAAAAAAGTAGATAATGGTAAAGTATCTTCTCAAACAAAGATTTTGTTGAAGTGAGTAAAATTTTTCAACAAAGCTGCGTATGCAATATCATTTGTTGACCATAATCAATTACGCATCGTTTCGGAGTACACATATTAAGAGTCGTAAAAGTGGAGAACAATAATTAGAATATATAATAATATGGAAAATAAATGATCAAACATAATTTTCTATTCATTCTTGTGTTTCATTGAACTGCAGTTTAAGAGTACTAAGAACAACTTCCAAGCTACCCAATAATTATGGCCGCAGCATAACTTAAATGTTTCTCATCTAAAACTTCAGCACCATGCCTAAGCGAAATCATTTACCAAGTGTTTTATTATTAATAATTTTTAAGCTGAAACCTGTCTCCTAGGAAAAGAAACAATCTTAATTAAAATAGCAGGAAAGCTACAAAAATACAAAAACAAAAAAATACAAAAATACAAAAATACAAAAATAACAGCAATAAGACGAAATCAACTGAAAAAAGACCAGGACCAAAAAATCTGAAACTAAAAGATTAAAGTTGAGTAGGAAAAATATAGTGTGGTAGGGAAGGAAGGAAGGTTGAGGAAGAAGTAAAAACCATTGTAGAAACGCAATAATTTTTCAAAAGTGACATTTTGACAGATGAGCAAACAAAACCAACAAATCTCAGCCAACACAACAAATTCAATGACTATGAATATTTCAAGTGAAAGACCATGCAAATAATGCCTCAGAGAAGACGCATCTATGCTGACTGCTGTGCAAATATGCGCAGGGACTCGAGCGCGCCGCATACTTAAAATGATAAAGCGATACGAACTGCAGTGATACAAAAACATTAACAAAAATAAGTAAATAAATAAATAAATAAAATAAAAATATTTTAAGTAAACAAAAACAACGATCCTTAAATATATACGATATACACAGATATATTCATAAATGTATTGAGTTTAGATTTAAATCAGCAGAAAATATAATTTAAGTATCAGAAATAGTTACTGCACTTCCTTTTTCTTTTGTTTTTTTGTTGTTGTGGAATTATTATTTTTAATTTTTTATTTCTTATTTCTTATATATATTTTTATATTTTTTAAAATAAAAAAGCAAACAACATTGCTATAACCAATTGCTTTTATTAAATTCCTGCATTTGTTGCTTACTAGGATTTTGCATTAAAGCAGCCATACAGCCATACAGCCATGCAGCATCACATATATAGTTTATGTACCAAGTTCTGTGCTCATTCATCATTTGCAGTTATTTTTCAATATATT